TACAATTCGACACCGATCGGAGGACGCGGGAGAGGTAAGTTTCGCGACTAAATATGACTCCTCTCCAGCCACGTTTCTCTCACTTTAGTATTTTCTATTGTTTTAATAAAAATTCTGTTTTTCAATCAGGACATAAAATCTCCTCATTCGTGTCTGATAATGAAGGTCTTTATTTCTTGATAGAGTGGTCAACTTTGAACCTTCAAAGCAACTTCCGTCTGATACCTCAACATATAATTCCATCTAGAAATTTCTTTAAAAACTTGCATATTATATTTCCATTATTCAATACACTTAAAGTGGGTGGATATCAGTTCTGCCATGTGAAGACTGTATAAGTGTTAATATAATATAACATACTGTAATTTCAAATGATTAAAAATAAATTACTTTACAGTTAAATTCTTGAATATCAATGACATATAAAGACATACCGACAAAAGATGTTATCCAGTAATTCTAATTTATCCGAACAAACCCGTACAACGAATGCTTAACGTGTTGAAGCGCCTGCCATTAATCTGTGCCATTGAGGGTCAATTAACATACTATCTGAAATATTAACTAAATTTTCATTCCGATGTTTTTTTATTTCTACATGTTCCTTGAATTTTTTTATAAGCATCTTTTTCTAAATGTAAAATTTTTATATTATTTCTATTAATTTGACATTTTTTATTTTTGTGTGGGTGTACCACAGGTAATTATTGTATCCAAGCCGAACAGCTGCTTCATGCTCTTATATTCTTCCTTCCAATAAATGACATGTTTCATCTATATAAATTTTTGGATTTTGACAGTTTCACTCTATTTTATANTAAATGTAAAATTTTTATATTATTTCTATTAATTTGACATATTTTAGCGTGTGTGTACCACGGGAAGTTACAGTATCGAAGCCGAACAGCTGCTTCATGCTCTTTTATTCTTACTTCCAATAAACGACTTATTTCATCTATATAAATATTTGGATTTTGACAGTTACACTCTATTTTATAAACTACCCCTGCGTTTTTAAGATTATTTATTTTATTCTTACGATGTTTATTAATGTTTTTATAAATGTCATGTGATATTTTATTAGTCAAAGATGGGGCCAAACTAATATAACCCTTTATAAGGAAATTATTGCAATTGTCGAAAATGTTTTTAATATACGGAAAGGTTTGTCCTGTTTATATTTCGTATTATATCTATTTGTGTAATATTGTTTGTGCCATGTATTTAGTTTCACTTTAGAACAGTCATTAAGAATAAACTTTGTTTCTAGCTTTTTAAATTTAATTTCTCGATTTTTATTGTCAGATATTCTTGTATATATGCTATTTAAGTCCATAATATAAGTATTCTTTTTCATGATTTCCCGAATGTATGAATTCGGGAAATCATGTTTTATTCGGTAGTTTAATCGGTAGTTAATCGTTTTATTATAATTACAGGGTCTTTTTATATGTTATAAAAGCGAATTTATCTAGGTTATTTATTATAGTTATATGTAAGTAATTAATTTGTCCATTTTTCCCTTCTTTTATATCAAATAAGAAGAGGAAAATGGACAATATTGTCATTTTTCGTAGAGTACTGAAGAGGGTAAGGAACTTAAACGAACCGAAATGCATTTGTAGTCCAATTTACAAAATAAAGCTGTTTCTAACCAGAAAGCTGTGAGATCGTCTATCAAACTTGTTTTTTGGATTAAAGAAACGTTATATACAGAAATTCCTTATGTTCATCCTGACGCGGGATTAATTGATTCCCCCTAAGTGTCAGCCAACTTACAAAGGACCTCTCGCTTTAGACTGGAACGTTGTCTGCAAATGGGTGTTTGGCAGTAGATACAACTATTGACTGAAAATTTCATGAGAATCCAATCGTTGGGATCACTTCGAATAGAATAAATATTAAAATTCGATCGGGGAAGTCGAAAGTAACATAAATCGGTGTCGGGAACCGTGTAAATCTTCCAGTTAGAGTAAATTCGATTTAAGAAAATTGAAGTTTTGTATTAGAAATTTAAAATAAAATTCATAATTTTGTAAAGATTGAAACAAAAAGGATTATTGTTTTAGTTTTCATCTTTACCTAGTAGGTCTAGGAACAAACAAATAGATCAATAGCAGATCAAACTATGTATTGTGACATATTTTGCTGTATAAAGCACCAACCTACTGCTCTGGGAGACTGGGGTTCGGCTTCGGATTGTGATTCTAAGGAATTTCGAGCCTGGCCGTACCGATGATAGAAGGTCTTCTTAGAGTCTCTCAGAGACAGACGAATAGTCGAAGCGATGGGGTCAGCCTAATTCTCTAGGGGACCCGAAATATAATCCGGGCTAGTAAACCCAGGAATTTTCATGGGCAGTCTGTACCGCATATGTCGGGTTTCGTCCTTCACTATCAGACTTCATTTTCCAATAATATCGACTTATGCCTTAAGCTCCTCAACTTTAGGGGCACTTTGTCAATCGCGTTTAATTATAAACCTTAAAGTAAAACATAAACTTTTTATTTCATGCAAATTCATTTTATTTACTGAAAAAGATTTTATTTATTCTACAATATTTATGATAAACACATATTCCTAAATATAAAACAATTAAACATTATTTATTTATTTATTTAAATTTAATAAACGCATATGTATATATATATGCAAAATATATGAACGCATAAAAATATATCTTAAAAACGTTAATACTGTATTAGATAAAACAGCTTAATAATTATATAAGCAAGGTTAATATGTATTATAATAAATGAGTACTTAACATTAACAGACAGAAAGCTCTATTCATACCAACTTTGTATCTTGTATACATAAAATACAAGTCGACTTTTGATGATAGCGTATAAACGAAAACTGCATGCATATCATTTTTGCAGTTTGTTTAAAAATTCAAAAACTAAAATTAATCTCAACATCGAAATTATTTCTTTTAGTAAAGATGATGATGAGTACACGTTTAATTATAACAAAGATGAGTAGCCGACAAAACAACATTGTCTTTAACAGTCATTGGAGTCTTCATCCAAGCGAAGAGATTTCCTTCTCTCATACTTCCTTCGCAGCTTCCAGTATCTCGAATTTGCTCCAGGCTCAGTTGTTCATCCCAAATATGAACCTCGGCTATATCTCCGTGCCA